AGTTTATCAACTGGTGGAACATCTGGCGTTGAAGGACTGTCTGAAGGAGGTTCTTCATTTGGAAGAACATCAAACATTGGAAGACTTGAAGGGGGCTTAAAGATATTGGATACGTGATTCTTTGCTACACCAGCAATCGTCTTGAGCAGCACTGGTGCAAAGTTTGCAATGTTGTTAAGTAGAATTTCTTGAGGGTATTCTTCTCTGATTTCTCTCAGGATGCTCTGGACCATGTCATCTCTGATGGTGCAGGAGAAGATGACCTGGCTTTCCGTGCTGTGACAGTTTTGGAGACGCAATCCAGAGTGGCCTTGGTGAGGCTAACTCTGTGAGGCCATGTTCAAGAGGGGGCGAGGAGGACGCTCCCAGAAGCCCTGCAGGACCCAGGGAACTACCTCTATCACCACTTCCTGTGCAGTGAGCAGTTTGGTGTTTTGTGGTTCCTGCTGCTTGTCTTTAAGGATTTAAAGCATCCGGGCTATGTCCCTCATTTTATTAATATTGTTCACTGCCCATACCTGAAACAGAAAACACATTTACAGTGGAGTTTTGTTTAGAGGTTATGTAAAAAAGAAATCTCCAAATTACTTGTGAGTTTTCTAGACTTACCAGTTTCAGAAGAGGTTTGGCACCGTCTTCTTCAAAGTCTTTTAATTCAAATTCCCAAAGCCTTTGGGAGGTTTTCTGTCAGCATTTACGCTTCATCACAAACAGACTTTCAGGTGTCACAGTAACTTAATCTCTTGTTTTAATTTGTATGTTTTTTCCCCAACTATAAAATTACACCATGTGTTAAAAAAAAAAGCATAAGTAAAACCTGGCTGCTCGTTTGATCATTGAGGACTCCAGCTGTGTGGCTCACGTAGTGTTTATCTTTTGGGAAAATCAGGCTGATGTAATTTAGGTGAATTTCACAACGTCTCACACACTCATCTGTGTTTTCCAGCCGTCTTTGTCATAGTTTAACAGCATAATCAGATATGATGTTATATGGTAATAAAATAGCTCCTGCAGTGAATAAGGGGTAACACCCTTTAAGGAGGATAAGCAATGCTTCACTTACTCTTAGTTAGGGTGTCGTTGATTCGAATGCTGCACAGCACTTTGTCAACATTTCGGGCGTGAAGGAATCCACTTCCTCTCACCACCACTTGGAAGGACTCTGACAAGCTGAAGAGAAACACATTATGTCACCTCATCTATAAAATATTATTGAAAATAAATGTTGTTATTTCTTCTTCTTTGGTCCAAAGTAATCCCAAGCAGCAGTTTACATACACTTGTGTTGAGCATGAATGTCGTGGAAATTTGGAGAAGGTCTCACTACCATCTTGTAAACCTTCCCTTTCACTCTTTCTGCTATCCTTCTGTCACAAATCTTCTGTAGTGCTCTTTCTCAGCGTGAAGCCATGCTGCTGCTCGCTAATTGTCACATTTTTCCCGTATCTCCACAGTACGGCTCATCAGCTTTATCCCTCTGTACTTACTACAGCTCTGTGGAATCAAATCCACCCACCACAATAATACAAAACAGCCCCAACAGTTTATCCATGCATCAAGTATCCTGTGTTGATCTTGAAATTGTTAATTAATAACTTGCTACACTAAGAATTCTGTACATGTGTTATAATTCATCCAACTACAGCAGCCATTCATCCAACTACATTATAACAAAATGTATTTTCATTGTTTTCATTGTCTTACATATTTGTATATATTATACAAGTTATGTAATATTATATTTTCCTTAAGCCTAGTTAAGACCATCTATCCATCCATTCACTTCCACTTCTCCTTTTCAGGGTCGCGGGAGCCTATCCCAGTGGTCATAGGGCGAGAGGCGGGGTACACCCTGGACAGGTCGCCAGTCTGTCGCAGGGCCAACACACAGGGACAGACAACCATTCGCACATTCACACCTAATGGCAATTTGGATTTTTCAATTAACCTATCCCCACAAGCTGCATGTCTTTGGACGGTGGGAGGAAGCCGGAGTACCCGGAGGGAACCCACACAAACACGGGGAGAACATGCAAACTCCACACAGAAAGACCCCGGCCTGATGTTGGAATTGAACTCAGGACCTTCTTGCTGTGCGGCAACAGTGCTAACCACCGTGCCACTGTGCGTCCCCCTAGTAAAGACCATTTAATTTAAATACTAATGATTATAGAGCACACTATAGTTATGGGAAAACATTTGCACTGTTGCAAACAAATAGTTGCTTTGCAATTTGACAGAAAAACAGATTAAATAATAAACTCTGATTAGACTTAGCACTCAAGCTGAGGCCAAAAAACTGTGTGTGCAACAGTTCACCTGCCTCTGCTGCAGGAAATTAGATTATGAGTCACCGGTTCTGACTGATGCTGTTTTGTTGTGTGGGGAATAATTGATTGAGTATTTGACATGCAAAGATGGCTGCAACTGCCTTCCTTTGCAGACGAACAGCAGGGGTCCCAACTGTGTGAGTGTTAATAAAGACTTCTAATAAAGTCAAACAGCTGGATGCAACAAAAACACCTCAGGGTAACATTTTGTCAAACTAGGATTAGGCTACAGTCACTGGTGAGTCTCATTAAACAGCCTTTCACAGGCAGGGCTGTGCCAGCACTGGCATATCAGGCGTCTTTAATTTAATCAAATTAATTAATTTAATTTGATTAAAATTAATTTTTTAGTTTAGTTTAGTTTAGTTGAGTTTTTTTTTTTTGCATTATCTGGTGTCTATTGTGTCTGATGCTAAGACTAAAATATGTTGTTTGACCCAAACATTAATTCATTATGGACTGGCTTTAATCATTTATTAATATTATTTTTATTTATTTATTTATTTATTTATTTATTTATTTAACTCAGTGTGAGATTTATTTCAGCAGTGTAAGAAGGCAAAAGATTGTGACACGGAGAGGTTGGCCAACTGGCCAACCTGCCTTACATTGGGTTCATATGAATATTATTAGAATGTGACTTTGAGGGCTCTTTAATAACAGGGGCGCAATTTTCTAGGTAATTAATTAATATTAATAACAATGATTTGTAATTAACGTGAATATTTCTCACTCTATTATAATTAAAAATGGTTTTTCCTTCAGTTTGTTTTTATCTTGTTACTTTTACTTAAGTAAATCTCCTGATTAAAATATCCTGAAAGGAATTAACTGTAATTGATTAACTGGGACTAGTGCTTTTATATATTGTACCATCGTTTCCGGGGACTTTTTTTTAAGGATGTGCAACTCTGTACAACAATCCTTTGCAAAAGGTTCTATGTGGACGTGCATGCAGTGAGACACTAGGTGGAGCCACAGGGTTGTGGTTCTCACTCTCCTTCTATGTTCCAGCACCTCAGTCGCTTCTTCCCACAGGGATGCTTCCAGCAAAAATGAACCGAACATGACATCTCCGTCACACTGAATGCTCACATCAGTTAAAAACTTCTGTGATTATGTAGAGTGAAGCCCCTGGCTGTTTGACAGTTGTCCAATTAGGACTTAGCATGATGAGCACACTGATTAAACTGGAGAGGGGAATCCTATTATGTCAGCATCTTCACCCACTGATGAAAGCTTTAGAAAGGAAGAAGAAGAAAAAACGCATCGGGGAGTTTACAAAGCTAAACCCTCTTGGGGAAGTGCAACCATGAGTCATCAGCAGCACTTGCTTTGCTGTTAATCCAGTGAAACAGACAGTGCTATTATAAGACTCCCAGAATTGATTTGTCATGACCACAACATCATCCACAAGTAAGTGAAGGCAGTAAGCCTTACATTTATTCCCTCTTCAGGTTCAGCGATTGTAGTGATTGTCTGCACTTTTTTTCAGTTTATCAGAGCAAATGCACAATAAAGAATAATGAAGATGGCATACCCTGGAATTTAACCCTGAATACACGGTGTTAGGCTGCTGGATAAAAACAGTGGGTGTTTCTGGTGAAACAGACGAGAATCGCTCTTGATCTGCTCCACTCTGCGTCTGACTCCCACAACCCCTACGATCCAATTATAGTATTCATTGCAGCTATTGCATTTGGAAGATGGTATAACTTTATAAAGTGCTGCACACAGGTATTTTGCTGGCTGAGATTTTTTTTTATAATCCCAGGGCTCTATGGAGAGATAACAGAGGGAGATGTGAATTAGGTCATCTGTACCATCTGTACTTTATTGCTGGAGCTGGCAGCTCTACTCCTGATGGCATCTGCGCTGGGATGTGTGATTTACAGGTTCACAGTCAATGACAGCTCAGACACAGATGAGCACTCCGGCTGCACTGCCAGGTCCCTCCCCTTGGGGTTGAAAGCTGTCGACTCCCCTTTTACGACTGAACTCCAGCGTACAGAGAGGAAGACTGGCTTAAAGATGCCGAGCGCATCTCTTCCTCCTCGCACCCACAAAGAGAGTACATCATGATGCTACAGAGTGAGCAGCAGGAGAAAACAAATCGATAGCGCTGGCAGAGGTTGTCCTCTTGCCCTTTGATGCCTCTGCGTAAACAAAGACACTTTGCAGTCTGGAACTCCCACTGAACACTCACATAAGAAGAAGTACACTAAACAGCGCACACCGAAGACCTGACGAAGGCCAAAGCAAAGACCGTCTTCTTTCTGTGTGAAATGTGGCTAAAAAAAAACCCCCAACAAAAAACAAAAAAAGGAAAGAAACACAAAGAGTAGAGACTGAGAGAAGAAAGCCTGAGACTGTGTGTGACTTATCATGACATCGCTAAATCTGGTAAATTTTTCTAAGAGGCTTGGAGTCGGTCAGGATTGAGGCCAGCAACCACAAGGTCAGTTAAAATTCCACTCAAGTATATTAAGACATCCATCTGGCACAGCTCAGAGGTACATGTAATTGTGGGAATGTGAATAGATGAACTAGAAATGCTGAGGGGCTGTATATTAGGCAAATAAAACCCAGTTTGACAGAAGAAAAAAGAACATTTTAAAAAGAAAAAGAAAACAAAGAGAATAAATAACACAAAGGTCCAAAAATGTCCTCATGAATCCCTTGCTAGGAGTATGTCTTACAAATTTATTGTATGTGACACAGAAGTATGTGAGGTCTCTCGGTTTCCACTGTGTACAGAGCAGTACACAAGCAACAATTTCACCACAGGAGCAGGAAGCAAAATCTGGAGACAACAGGACCACCACTGATCAGCATTTCAGAAATTATTGTTGAACTCATGCAATATATAAGAGCCCCACTCGTCACAGCTTTAGACATTTCAACTGCTTTTCCGGAATATAAAATGTGTAAACATATAGAAAATCTTTTGCTCTTTTTGGTTTTTCTTCATACGAGCACTTCCCAGATTTGATCATTTCCCTTATAGCTGTATCTTGCAGTGCAAAGCTAAAAATTTGCTTTCTTGTGATAACATCAAGATTTAAAAAAAATCACAGAAAGCTTTCAAAGCTGAGATGAAATTTAAATTTAAAAGCAGCCATTATTTCACCACCAGCTCATTCCATTGTGATGTTAACGGAGGAAAAGGGCATTTATTCTCATGTGCGACCTTGAAAGGCTACTCATAACAAATGGATGAAGCGTTACAGTGGCTATACGGGCTCTCCTTTTTCCGATAGGGACAGCTGATGGATTTTAATGGTGGGAAGGTTTCTGGTGGAGGTGGGGTGGGCGCAGCCGGACTCCCGCGGGGGAGTCCTGGCCCTGAGGATGCAGCAGCAGGTCCGATGTAAGCTTTTATTGCAGAGTTTGGCCACTTTCGCTCTGCTCGTTTCAGCTGGTCCAGAATCGCCCGCGGGGGCTCCGGAAAAGACCTTCCATTCCCGGCTGTCCCTGGAGGAAGGAGTTCTCGAGAGGGCCATGGAGGAGGAGGGGCTGAGCCGAGAAGGAGGCCCCCTGCTGTCGAGGCCCAGGGTGAGGGGCTGGCCGTGACCCTGCATCTGACTCTGACGATGGTGGTGCGGTCTGGGAGTCGTCCTCAAACAGTGAACTCCAAGTAAACTCTGGAAAGCTTTTTTAAACTCCTGGTTGGAGCATGGGTAGATGATGGGGTTGATGCAGCTGTTGAAGTAACCGAGCCAGAAGGTGATCTTGAAGACGGTGTCTGAAGGTCTGTATGCAGGGAAGATTGAACCTGCAGGGACATCAGACACACATCAGAGACATAATAAAAGATAGATGTGGCCCTCAGGTATATAAATCTGTGGGAGGATTCTGTCGCACAATGTTTGTTTCACACACCTAAACAGAATCTGCCATTCAAGACATTTTACTAGTCACCTTTCTCGGGACAAATCGCTAGCGCTCATCCTCCGGATATCTAATTTATAACAGTTCATCCAGTAGTTATTGAGCTGCTTCAGTCTAGATTGAAGTGGGTAACTGACCAACGCTGCCTCGAGCTGTGCTGTTACTGAGGCTAAACCAAATTTGAGCCAGTTTTCAGAGCTCCAATTACCTGCTGTGCTCTATTTGTGTTTTTTTTTAAAGAACACATGATCCCAAGCTGTTGGAAATCACACCACTTCACCCGTCTACTTGTCACACTTTATTTCTAATGCTTTTATCCAAGTTCCACTTGATAGAAGCTTCCTCTTTGCCGCCAAGGTTAAGGATTTTATTAAAATTGATCCCGGATACTGTGCTGCTTTTGATTCGAGCGAGTGGGGAATGTGAGTGGGATCTTTAATGAAGTGGCAAAGGTAATGGCTTAATGGACGCATTACATGCAGGCTTAGTCCTCGTTGTATTCAGTGGCTGGCAGTGAAACATTAAAATAATGAAACGGCTGACTTCTTGTGTGGCTGCACTATATCTGTCTATCTGCCATCTATTTTCAGAGGCAGGAGAGAAGCTGCCTTGTGAAATGTTTTATTGGCCAAGCTCCTGAGAGGGTTAAGCCTCGGGAGAAAAAACAATGTGATTGTGATATAGAGATGGATAGAAAGAAGAGGCGGAGAGAGTTGGAGAGCAAATTATTTTGTGCCTGGCTATGCAGCTAATGCATTTTATCCCCAGCTGTGCCAAAAAAACCCAATTCTATTATTGCACGTACCCCTTGATAGATTCATTGTTGGAATAAAAATAGAAGAGGAGTGCAACTGTTGGGTGAATGCGTTGACGCTTAAACTCAATGATGCATCGGCGTCTGCTGCTGAATGCACACGTTTTTGTTTTTTGTTTTTCTGCTGATTGAATTCATTCAGATTGAAAATTTCCAGCCAGCTGCTTGCATGGGATGTGATATTAATCCGGTTTAGCGTCTGCATCCACTGACACTTTTAATCTGAACAGTGCGACATATGTAAGAGTGATGATCACATGATCAGCGGTCCCTGAATGTGGATATACAGCACCCTGTGTGTTCAGAGCTCTAGATGTCGTGTTTTTGCTGTTCTTAATTTCTCAAAGAGTTTTAAGACTGCATTAAAGTATATTAAAAACTATCTAGAGAAGATGGGATCAGCATGGAAGTTGCCATCATTGGAAAGAAAATAAGCAAATGTCCCCATATATTTACATCAAGGGCCAAAAAAATAAAAATAAAATCTTCCATAAACCTCTGAAACTGTAACATTTCCGAATTTTTAATCTAATTTAGGTGCTTATGTATTATGTTTATTGTTATTTTGTTTAACCTATTTGTTTCCTGTTTTTCAAACTGATTTTAATCATATTTAAGCTCAATTTAAATATAACCAGTGCCTGTATAACTCTTATTTGTGCTATGTTGCCTTCAGCTGCAATAAGGAAACAAAGGTTGTCTATTTGTTGCTCATTTTGACAGTACTATCTGTATTAAGACTATTACTTCCATACACTCGTGGCCACTTCATTAGATACACCTGTTCAACTGCTTGTTAATGCAAAAAAATAGTCAATTACATGGCAGCAACACAATGAATTTAGATATATATGCATGGTTGAGATGACAGGCTGAAGTTGACTTTTTCAGATTTTCTCTGAAAAAGGGAAAAATAGAGAAGACAATAAGAATCCTGTGCTGTAACAATCAGATAGTAGGGTTAGAATTTGACATAAACAACATGAAAGCACTGATCAGGGCTTTCATGTATCAACGTTTCAGGCTGTTTCTGCTGGTGGTGTAATGATGTAGGGGATATTGGGGCCCCTTATTACCAAATGAGCATCGTTTAAACACCACTGCATATCTGAGTATTGTCACTGACTGAGTAATGTGGTCATATAGGGATGGACATCATCCCTTTATGACAATAGTGTGCCCATGTTCTGATGACTGCTTCCAGCAGGATAATGCACCATGTCACAAAGCGCATATCATCTCAAACTGGTTTCTTGAACATGACAATGAGTTCACTGGACTCTAATGGGCTCCACAGTCATAAGATCTCAATCTAATAGAGCACCTCTGGGATGTGGTCGAACAGGAGATTCACATCTCATCTCCAGCACCTCGTTGAATCTTTGCAACAAAGAATTAAAGCAGTTGTAAAGAAAAAAGGGGACCAAGGCAATGCTAGCAAGGTGTACTGAAGAAAGTGGCCAGTGAGTCTATGTTATTGAATGCTTTCAGTCTTAAAATATGCTAGAAAATTGTTTAGTAAAATTTATTTAAAGGTAGTAAGGCTTGATTGCTTGGTCACTTGGTCAAGTACCAGTCTGAGGTATTATAGTTTTATTTAAATCCTTTTCATTCATTTTCTTATCATCTTCAGTTTTAGTATCATTTTTGGAATTACAATTATTATATTTACTTGTATAGTATTTCAGTTTTATATTCTTTTTATTATTAATATTATGTAGCACTCTGTGCGCCCTTAACTTGAAAAACTGGAAAAAAAATAAATGAATGCTGCAGATGACCTTTAAATGAAATATGAATGGATTGCAATGGTATATAATTAAACAGATTTTCTATCAGTCTTTGTGCTAGCTATTTTTCTCTTGCTTTTCCCTTTTATCTATGTTGTTTTCTCGGCAGTGAGGTTTTTAAGGTTTGAGTTTAACTTGAAGCAAACCAAACTGAGCACAGAGTTCTGACGCTAGGCCTCTAGCAAGGTTGGGTGAAGTGTAGGCAGGTGCTTGGCTTCGGCCTCACAAGAAATCTCAGGCGTTTTCCTCGTTGCTGTCTGGTTGCTGAGTGTGTTGCTCCTGGCAAGCATGTCTTATTTCTCCTAGCGGGCTAGGCTAGCAAGCCAGATGGGCTCTGCACACCCAATCACCTAACGCTGCCTATTACGCAACCTTGATAAGCCTGTACCCCTTCCTGCTGTTAATTGTCTGCAGAGGCTAAATTCATAAACAGCTTCTCTCACACAGGTTTGAAGATTTCTTTGTCCCCTGCGGCCGTTACCTTACTCTCACTCTTTTAGCTTGTGCCCCACAGCCAATCACATTACAGCTAAAACCACTTCACGTGTGATTAAAAAGCTCCATGACATCTCCTCTCCAGGGTCATCTCCATTTGTAACTCTGGACTGGTTCCAGTGCAAATGTTTTTTTTTTTTCCATCTCTCCCTAGAAGTCCAGTTCAGACCACTTTAACTTAACCATCCGTGATACATATTGGAGCTGAGCAGGCTGTAGGGAAAGATTGTGCTTGTGTTGCCACAACTCCTGTGTTTTAAGTGTACTGTGTGCACACTGACAGTAGACTTTTAACTTTCTGTGACCTTGTGAACAATGCTTGGGCTATTTTTGCAGATTACATCATCTCCATTTTAAATTTGAGTACTTATTTGAGTATGATGTATGGACAAAAAGGCCATACCTCTTAAACTTTGAATTCAGGTGTTTTCAGTCCTGTTGCCACAGATTTATCCATGCAGTCTACCTGTAAAACTACTGAAAGAATTAATGTTTTAAAGAGCACAGTGCTGTAACAGATTGTAGTACTGTAACGAGTCAGTCTGTGAAATTTCTTTCATCCTAGATATATCACAGCCACTTTCATATGATTTTGTGCAAAGTGGAAACATTTAGGAGGCACAGCAACTCGGTCCCGAAGTGGCAGACCCCGTGAAGTTACGTAGCGGGGTCACCAAGTGCGTAAAAGTATCTGACGCTCTTCTGACTTCATGACTGCAGAGCTCCAAACCTCCTCTGGCATCAACATTAGCATAAAAACTGTGCGCCGTGAGCGTTGTGGCATGGTCTTCCATGGTCGAGCAGCTCCTGTAGGTGTAATGTGTAGGTGGGCCAGTACTTTTGTCCATATGCTTCAGTAATATTTTAGTGTTCAGAGTGGGCGTGTTGGTAAAAGTTCCATATTTGCAGTAAATTACAGACATTTGCTAAAATACTATCCTTGCTCTGTCACAGTTAAATTGTGCAGCTTCTGTTTTATTTACCTTCATGTTAGAAAAGCAAATCTGCGACACCACAAGTCGGTAGCTGGGTTATTAACTATCACGCTGGTGGTCATAATCTGCTTATCTGCTTTAATCTGCTAAAAAGGGAAAATTAATTTCAGGCTGTTTGGCTGATGTTTTTTGTACACGTTTCATTTAAGATGAGAGTAATGAATGATGACTGTATTCAACTAACATTCAGTTTTTTATTTGAGAATTTAAAGTTAAATTACATGTGCTTGTCTAAAGTAAAAGAGCCCCAACAATAAACTTCTCTTTTTATAACTAGAATAATAAAAAATAAAGACCCAACACTAAGTTAATTAAGCTGAGAATATTTTGGCTGGATTAATAGGTGTGTTTATTTCACTGCAATCAAATGAAACATGTAGAATATAATCAAAATATTTTAATTAGGGAAATATTTTAACTTCAAACTGCAGGATGCATGTTTTTCCTAAAGCCTCCTTTTTATCATTCTTTCTCTTTTATCAGACTTCAGTCCACTGAAGTCTTTTTCTGATTTAAGTTAAGTATAGAACATGAAACCTAAAAAACAATAAGGCACAGAGTGTGGGTGTGCCACTACAAACAACACTTTTACCAGTTGACAGACAGCTATGGTAGAATTGGTTGTCTACTAACCGGAAAGTTTAATCAGCAGCTCCTCCAGGCTGCATGCTGAAGTGTCCCTGGGGGAAGTTACCGAACCCCAAATAGCCTCCAGTGCAACCATCAGTGTATGTGTGATAGATGAATAAAATAAGACCCACCTAACACATAGATATTTGACCCATTGTTCATTTAAAAATGTTTATCAGCATGTGTCTACAGGGCTGTGTGTAATTCCCCTGCTCTTTCTCCCAAAGTTCCTGTCTTTCTTCTCAATACATCCAAAAATAACTCTTAGGGGGGAAAAAATGTTCATCAGCTCTAGTTTAAAAAGACACTCGACACCCACTGACACTCTGAGTCAGAGGTTTTTAAGAATAAAGACTCCTGGCTGGGGCTGGAGACAGGAAACATTTCAGTTCATCTTCAGTTTCTTAACATATCACGATAGCACGAGGACACCCTGTGAAGCTGTTCTTTATGTCAGCGAGGGCATGCTTCATGCTACGGTGACACTGTCGCCTCTCAGCCACCTGTTTCCTTCCAAAGAGATTGTTGTTAGCTTAACTGTTGATGCCAAATTGGCCTTGGGTGTGGTAGTGAGTGAGTGATTGTCTGTCTCTCTGTGTTATCCCCATGATGGACTGGGTACCTGCTTAGCGTGTCCTCTGCCTCTCATCCATTGTCAGCTGAGATTGGCTCTAGCCCCCACCACCTGACCCTGAACTGGCTAAATGGTAAAGAAAATGAACTGATTGATGCTTTACACGTGAAGGACTCGGTACATATCAAGGACAATCCACAGATAAATACAGAGCCTTTTAACACCCATTTAAATTACTTCCATAATTAAAGTCTTGTAATTATTACATTGGATCTGCTTCCACTTCCCCCTAACCCTAGCATCCTCTTCTGTCACACCAACCCCCTGCATGCCTGGTTTCACTTCACATCTTCTCTGTGGTCTTCCTCTTTTCCTCCTGCCTGTCAGCTCCATCCTCAACATCCTTTATCCAGTGTATCCACTATCACTCCTCTGCACATGTCCAGACTATCTCAGTCTTGCCTCTCAGCCCACAGTTATTATGGCTATTAATTTAAATAATATCTACTCCATAATCGAAATGATGCAATCAAGACTTATCCAGCTGTACACGTCAGAACTACACCAGTGCTTTGTGATTCATTGCTGAATCTATCATTGTCCACAGACTTATGTGGCAGCGGTATGCACTGTGACGCCAGTATTAGTAAGGGAGCATTCGTGAGCTGAGGCTTTGCCTCATTTCCCAGTCAGGAGCTACTCAGCCAAATGGTGGCAGCTATATTTACAAGCATGAGAGCATGGAATAAATACAAACCCTGCAGGATTTGTTAGGATTTTGTCCGTATCTCATATCTACTTGGTTCAGATTTCCTTTTCGCATGATTGACAACAGCACTTGCAGGTCTACAAGTTGTGTGATTATTTCCCTTTGAGCTCATCTTCATTGAACCCGGTGCACTTGAAGACACCAGTCTGGCCTCAGTCCGAAAGGCTTTATCTGTCACTGAAGATCTGCCCCCATGATGAAGGGAGTCACAAACACGAGGGAGAAAAATGGCTCGACATGCCATTCAAGGGTCTGGTTTGAAATATATCTTGGTCTCAATTTTAGTCCTTTTGTTTACAGACGGGGAGCAGTGGAGGATGACAGTGATCTGAAAGATTTATAGAGCCTATTTATAGAACGACTACCTGGCCTAGTCGAAATCATTTACTACAGCGCTCCAGAGGCCACAAGCTCGTCTGAATGCGAGTAACCGCAATGTCATCCCACAAAGGAGGCATTCACTTAACATCATCTAACTATGAAATTAGCCAGCACTTTAAAACATGACCGTAGAATAAATTGATCAATGAGTATGTAATGGGAATAAATTCAGATGTTGAATTGCTTCCTGAAAGTGGTCTGACTCATGCGTAGGAGTAGGTAATCACATATATGGACCTATTTTTAATTTGTGAAACGTTATTGATTAAATGGTTGCAGAGGGTATCATTGACTGTCTGTGCTCCAGTGACATTGCTAAGAAATATGCTTTTCCCCCCCGTTGATACTGAGAGTTAGATGAAATGAGAATATTTGTCCATTCAATGGGAAACCAGAGGCAGGAGTTAACGCAGGTGACAACACCAGATCCAATGAAACCGTAATTTCCCATTTTTACACCCGGATTCTCAAATCCATTAAACAAAAATGTTTAAAGAGTCAGTTTATAAGCTTGGAAGAGCGCTTGGCTAGCTGTCCACTTTTTTCAGTCTGTCTATATTATTCATTCATATTTGCCCCCGAGTGGTGTCAGGATTCAAATTTCACTCCATTAAAAGACTTCATTTGATCCAAAATGCTGCAGAGAGAGAACTGACAGGGACTAGAAAGTGAGAGCACATTTTTCCCTAACTGGCTTCCTGTTAAATCCAGAATCAATTCTTCTCCTCACATACAAGGTTTTGAATAATTAGGCCCCATCTTATCCTAAAGCCCTCATAGTGCCGTATCACCCCAATGGAGCTCTTCACTCTCAGACTGCGGGCTTACTTGTTGTTCCTAGAGTATTTAAAAGTAGAACGGTAGGCAGCGCCTTCAGCTTTTACGCCTCTCTTCTGTGAAACCAGCTCCCAGTTTGGGTTGAGACAGACACCCTCTCTACTTTTAGCATTAGACTTAAAACTTTCCTTTTTGATAGGGCTGGATCAGGTGACCCTGAACCCTGACCTTAGTTACGCTGCAATAGACCTCAGCTGCTGCTGAGTGTTTCTTCTTCACTCTCTTCTTTGCAATACCTGTGTGTTTATGTAGCACTCTGTATTTAATCATTAGTTATTAATTATCTCTGGCTCTCTTCCAAAGCGTGTCTTTTGCCTGGCCTTCCTCCCGTCTCCCCCCAACCATTTGCAGCAGTAGTTGTCCCTCCCTGAGCCTGGTTTTGCCAGTTTTTCCTTCCCACTATCGCCAAAGTGCCTGCTCATAGGAACTGTCTGATTGTTGGGGTTTTCTCTGTACTACTGTAGGGTCATTACCTTGTTCTATAAAGTGCCTTGAGGTGACTGTCATTGTGATTTGGTGCTATATAAAAAAAAAATAAAATTGCACTGAAGTGAAGTAACCTTCCTTTCCAAACTGTTGAGGTATTCCCTTTCAGTCTTGTAAGTAATATATTTTCTGCTCTGGTTAAAATTAGATTTGCCCTGAGAAATCTGGCTCTTGACATTAGGAATTACATGCAAGATGAACATGATAATACTCACCAATGGGTAGCACCAGGAAGAAGGGGAGCCAGCACAACACGAAGCAGCCAACCACAATGCCCAAGGTCTTGGCAGCCTTCTTCTCACGAGAGAATTTCAGCAGCTTCAGAGCAAAATGTGTGCGATTGCGAAGGGCCTCGTCATCTGAGACAGTTGCATTGCCTCGGTGTATCCTGAGAATCACCTGCTCTGAATCTGACTTCTCTGTCTTGTGGCCCTCCCTCAGGCCCTGGCTCTCTCTGTGAGCTACCACATAGACCCGACAGTACATTACCAGTATGATGGTCAGAGGAAGGTAGAAGGAGCCCACTGCAGAGAAGATCGCGTAGCCCGGCTCCTCTGTGATCTTACAAATGGACTCGTCCTCGGGCGGTGCCTCTTTCCAGCCAAACAAAGGTCCAATAGATATGATGACAGACAGCACCCAGAGCAGCATCACTGCCAAGAAAGCCCTGCGTTTTGTAACGATTGATGGGTAACGCAGGGGGTAGCTTACTCCAATGTAGCGGTCCACAGATATTACACAGAGGCTCATGATAGAAGCCGTGCAGCAGAGCACATCCACAGCTGCCCAAACATTACAAAAAACCCGTCCAAATACCCATCGATCCAGGATTTCCAAAATGGCAGAGAACGGCAGTACGGTGGAGCTCAGCAGCAAATCTGCCACTGCCAGATTAACTATGAAATAATTCGTGACTGTCCGCAGGTGTCGATGGCAAACCACCGAGAGGATCACCAGAATGTTTCCCACGATTCCAAACCCAATGAAGAGACCAAGCACCAGACCCAAAACCACAGCCTTGACCACATTGAGCTCTGGGACTAAAACATGGCTGCAGTTGGAGCAGTTCTGTGTCAGAGGAGCTGGGGTCATATTGTCCAGCACAGGAATCATTAGTTCCAGTACAATGCTGGTACTCAAGAACTGGCCTGTGCAGAAGTGGTAGACTGAAGCGCACACCTATTTAAGTTCACTACTAGAGAGAGGAGACATTAGGCCATTCTCATAAAAGCCATTAGAGTAATGATCACATTAAGTCTGTCTTGTCAAAACATAATTTGAATGATGATGCCTCGAGCAAATGCGCCATTACGTTGGCAATGCATCAAGGAAAATAAAGGGACAAGTTGCATGCAGAACCACTGAAAGAGAAATATAATATATGCAAACGAAAACTACTGAGCTAAAATCGAGTAATCCATCTTGAAAATGTTAATGATGTTAAAACTGACTGTTTTTATGCAGCTGGTACAAACCACTGTTAAAAATGCATTACAAATACAAGAGACAGATTGGAGGTGAGCGATTTAGGAAGTCTTTGAATGTTCTCTGAACCCAAAAAAATACATGAAAAAAAATCACTGTTTGGACTGAAAATTAAAGTCTGTTGAAACCAGGTTTCCTGGGAGTAGTAGGTGAGAAATCAACATCCAGGCTTGTGTGTTGAACGCAGCTTCAGCTTCAGTAACGTCCAGCGCCTTTGAAAAGAGAGACAGAAGAAGACACGTCCGTCACATACAGTGAAACATGAAAGCATTCATCCTTGTTCAGCTCATTGTTTTTTTGTATACCGCTGCTCAGCTCTATCAAGAAAGTGGGCGGGAGACAATGTCTGAGCCACAGCTGTAGTCAAATCAATGTCACCACTGTCTCGTCTTGATAATGGGATCAACTTAAAGTGAGGCTAACAAACTGAGAAACTAACAGTTCTGTGAAAACTTTTCACAGGACTATACAGGCTGGTGAAAAACACCCCATTCATTAGCTTGTGGAGCTGCTTTTAGCAGCAGTAACTAGAATAAAGTTTTTTTCTGTTCAAGTTCATCCGTTTCTCACATTTTTTATCAAAGAACTTTGGCCCACTCTGTTTGCGTGCATTCATTTATGCGTGCAGACAGCCCTCTTTAAGGTTCCCCCACAGCACCAGATTGGAGGAGTCTGGACTTTGACTGCATTATTGCAACAGCTTTTGCCACCATTGTGCTGTTTGGGTCACACATTTGACTCTAAAATACTTTTGCATACAGTAGTGTTCATTGCTCAATGACTACAAGGTGCCGAAGTCCTGTGTCTGCAGAACAAGCCCCAATCATCAGCCCTCCACACCGTGCTGACAGTTCTATGAGGTGTTGATAAGCTGTGTTTGGTTTTCATCTAATGTGGTCCTGTGGATTCTGGCCAAGCATCTGCACTTTGGTCTCGTCTATCCAAGGCACATTGTTCAAGTGGTTTGTTCATATGCTACTTTGCAAACCTGAGCTGTTTTCTCCTGGTAACACTTCACAACAAGCCATTCTTGTTCATTCTTTGTCTAATTGTACTGTCATGAACTTAAGTGTTGAACATGCTAACTTGTAGTTACTTGTAGTTGTAGCTCTTGTTTTTGTTTTTTGTTTTTCAATTTCTCCAAGCATCTGATCATCGGAGAACTTGTGGAGAATTTTTCTTGGATGTCCACTCCCGAGAGGATTGTGGCATTCTGTTAGTACACACCTGACTGCTCTTGGCCAGGAAACAGCCAAAAATATTTACTTTTATAGAGTTTCTCGCGCTTCCTGATCATCTAGTGCAGGGGTGTCCAATTCCAGGCCTCAAGGGCATATTTTAGATGTCACCCTTCAAGACATGTTGAAGAGGTAATTTAGCCATTTAAATCAGCTGTGTTGGATCAAGGACACATCTAAAACCTGCAGGACACCAGCCCATAAGGCCTGGAATTGGACACCCCTGATGTAGTGCATTGATTACCATAACCAAGATGCTACTTACCCTCACAATTTGGATAGAAGCAGTAAGGGTGTACTTAGTTTTTCACAGGACTGCACAGATACCTGTGAAAACTTTCTTTTCCCCAGTATGGGAGGAATACCACGTCATCATTACAATATACAGTGAGCCAAAACCTCACTAGCTGAAGTTTCAACAATGCAGCAATCAGAAGGCTCGGTGTGTATTATATGTTCTTCAAGTGACCTATAATACATCAGGATATGCTTGACTTTGTTCTTGATCCCTCCTTTAAATCAATATCATACCACGACCTTTATACAGACACAGGTCAAAACAACCCACATTATTACAGCTCCACCATTTGTTAAGGGTTGTCACAGTCTGTGCTCCTTATGTTTGTAAAGAACACATTAGTTTGACATTTTGGGAAAATATGCCAAGCTTGATCAAAATATTGATACCACTGTCATAACATGGCAGAGTCCCAAGAAAAATAAATCTGCCTACCAGGAAGTTATCAGCCCAGCACAGCTTCATCATATAATCTTATATAGCACTTTTCTACTATAGCTGAGCACTCAAAAGAGCTTTACATAACATGCCTAATTCACCCATTTATACAAGCACTTTTTACCACACCTGGTAAATATCATATCAAACAAACATGGAGTTTCAGACTCAAACATCCTAAATGTTGTGCATTGTCTGCTAGCACTAGCTCCACATGCAAGAAAAATATAACAGATGTATTTAACAAAATGAAGCACAATTTCCCGAATCGACCCCTCTGTTTTATGGGAGCTCATAACATTTGCAGTTATTTTTGTTGATTTTATCTCGCGGTAAGGGCATAACTTATCCCATTATTCTGAGAGAAAAAACAGTGCTTGTTTTCTCATGATAGGAAGTTCATTTTCTTTAGAAATCACAAGAAAACAAAAGCTTGTTTTCTCGTCATTTATCGGGGATTAGGAGTGCAGTTCCAGCCCGGTCAAACTACAGGGGGGTTTGACCGGGGGAATGTTAGTAGGGGGAAGGTTAGTAGGACAGGGGGGAGCTCCCCGAAAAGAAAAAAAAAAGCTTTTTCAAAATTTATGAGGGAAGTCGAAGTCTCAAAAATATTGACAATATGCTATTTTCCCTATGCATTTCTATTTCTTTTTAATTTCATAATCACACGTCATGAATAAAATTAGTATATTCCTAATGCGTGATTCATGCATGAGGGTGATTCATCACTAACTTTAATAACGACACCAGCGTAGGTTCTATTCTTGTCGAGCTTGGCTTCCCTTCCCACCTTTGTAAAGCAGAAAATAAATTGAACCGTAACACTCAGGAAAGCCAAGGCGCACTTAATTTCACACAGGAAGGTAGATTGGTGAACGCTCCCGCTCTCTTCATCAGCAATAAAGTAAACTTATTACTGAAATGAACGGCCTCTTTCTCCTCGCCGCTCTCCACGCAGCGGCTATTTTTAGATGCTTTGGTCAGTCGTTATTATTCTTATTCACAGGATGATAAATAAAGCTAAGCAAAGTGGTTTATAAATTGTTTAAGGCTATGAAGAAAAAACAAAGTTAACTCTCCTGAAGCTAATATCTCCTCGACATGGTGGATCAATGAGAGAACATTATTAAAAACACATCACACTGTACTTCAGTCAGCGTCTAACATGGCAGTAGATTCAAATAATGTTCAAATGGGTCTTTATTTAAGGAGAAGACTAGACCATCAGTAACTCCACAGGTGAGCACACTTCCTCCTCAGTAATCAGATGAGGGGATCGGTCATCTCCAAGGCTGCCAAGTTATTTTGTGATTGAGAAAACAAAGTCAGGTTTCTATGATATGTATTGAGAGTATAAAAGAAGCAATCTGTTATCAGAAGAGAGCAAGTTTATATAAATAATTCATAATCTTGAGATAACGGCTTAAACAAAGTAATCCCAGAAGAGCCATTTTTTGGCTTCTGCATATTTTTGGTCAGGAAAGGTAATTACGATCTCTTTTTTCCCCCATTGTGGCAATGTGTTTGTATAAGATAAGAAAAAAGAGGAATTTAGTTGCAAAGTTAAATTTACACGGATTGTTATTTGGAATTTATCCTCACACAGTTCAAATTTAAACTGCTCCCTCTGACTTTGATGCACTGGATTAATTAGGATTTATGGGCTTTAGCACTGCAGTGCAAAAGCTTCTTCTTCATCTTCTTTTTCTTCTCTTTGTTTCAAATTCATCTTATTTTTAAGGGGGCTAGTTCTCAAAAAACTTGTGAATATTGTAAAACATATGCATCCGAAGTGGGGAAGCAGTCTCTGCTGAACACAGTCTGGGCGTTTCTCGGTCAAGGTGGCCTTATATTCACTGTTAGACCACAGTCTCTGTTGTTTCTGATCCTGCAGCAGTTGAGACCAAGCAGCAACATCCTGGGCTGAAGATGAAGGCAACACTGAAGTGCCAAAAAATACACTTCCTGATGTGTCCACTTGAGGCTAATTCCCTGAGAAAACTCAGTTCCTATAGACTTGCATGTAAAAATGAGCAGCTTTTTAGTAGAAATAAGCCTTTTTAGAGAAATCTTTACACAGACACACTGATCAGTAAGTATTTTGAACCAGTTTTACTTCCTGTCTCCAAATCTGAAACTGTTTTTGTCTCGCAGATGTGTTTATTTATTTATTTGTCTTAGTTATGATGTTCCAAGTATTTTACAACTAGGATGACCGAACAGAAATCTAAAGTGTTTCAGGATTTAAGACCTAATTTGGATCTAAAGAAAAGGAAAATCTAAATTAAGGAAGGTGTTTTTGTTGGTCCTGAATTCCGTGAACTGATGCTCGACGATGAGTGCAAAAGGAAACTGAAGCCAGCTCAATCAGCAGAATGGGAATCACTGGAAATTTCTTGGAAATCACGGAGCAGAGAATTATGCTGAGGTTGTGGAAACATGCTGAAAGCATATATGCTCCTGAGTGCTAAAATATCACTGAAGATGCACTTTTTACATTCTCATGTCAACTGTTTTCCCACCAAACCTGCACAGTGAGAAGTATGAGGAAAGATTTCACTGAGATATAGAAGTGACGGAAAACCAATATCAGGGAAAATTTCTCCAGAGGATTATGGGGGGACTACTGTTGGTTCGTGCAAAGAGAGATGTGCACATTTTGACCTGCTTTAATTTGAGCGAAATTGACAGAAATACACTTTCATGCATCTCTGGTATTGTTTTCTGGTTTGGTTTCAGATTAAATACATTATTGTTGGGAAATAGTTGTCTTTATCCAGATGTTGCATCATTACATCAGTGACGTCACTGATGTAATGATGCAACCTTAAATCAAATTTTATGTCTGAGAACAGAGTAAAAAATAGATACAGAGCTGGTTGTAAGTTCCCAGTTCAAAATAAAAATATTTTGTGATCTGGTATCTCTATCTGTCTGATGCACAAATGATCTGTGGAAACATTTTGCTAATAACTTAGCACCTGGACCTCTTATCTACATATAGTCATTTGATAGCAGTGGATATAAAGCTAAACCTAAGGCTTCAGGTCAGGACTACACAATGCTGTACTTCTGCCACTGGTCCTGAACACAGCCTATAGTGATGAAGAATATTTTGCTTTAAGTTTCATCTGAATGTATAGAATCCATGTGGATGAAAACTTTTACAATCCATTCCCTAAACCCAACAGGAAGTTGGATATTTTGAATTTACTGTCAAATTGTTTATTTATTACTCAACTACTTTGGTATAGTATGAATGGGTATGGAGTATGTCTTTATCAGCAGGAAAAGTGGTAAAACTTATAGTGGTAAAAATACAGTTAAGTCCAAATGTATGCCCTCCTTTAATCTGGGCCATCCAGAGACTGAGATAGGAGTCTTTGCTGGGCCGATTCTGACCCCCGAGCCTTATGTTTGACACTGCTGGAATAAAGGAAGCCAGCCACATGAGACAATAAAGTTCAATGACTCCACTACAGCATGCCCAACGTGCATGGAGGTACGAGGGCCTGATTGATGCTTGCACAAATTAATTTGGAATGTTTGAATGTCTTCTGACTTTTAAACAATGTCTTAGTGCCGCATAAACTCCTCCACTTTGACAGATGTGAAATTAATCTCGTCAGTGCAGATTATATAAATGTAGATTAGATAAGACTAGTAAAAGTAGAGTGGCCATGTTGACGAATTTTGGATTTTGTTAAGCTGCTTTATTTCAAACCAAATTAAAACTTCATCTGAGTTGTCCTCTTTTCCACTGACATTGTCTCTATCTATCTATCTATCTATCTATCTATCTATCTATCTATCTATCTATCTATCTATCTATCTATCTATCTATCTATCTATTTATCTATCTATCTATCTATCTATCTATCTATCTATCTATCTATCTATCTATCTATCTATCTATCTATCTATCTATCTATCTATCTATCTATGCCCCACGAACAGTCAGTCAGTGGCTGGCCTTGTCCTCTGGGCCCCACAACCAACTGCTCCACACTGCATGTTCAAATGTTTATTATGTTTGTCTTAAAGTTTTATATCTCAGCTGAGCTCTGATGCTGGCACGATGCAGTACGCCATTACAGCGTCATGCGGCAGCACCTGAGAGCTTCTCCCTCCCATGTGGGAAATAATGCTAATACGGTAATTATGAATAAAAGGCCTACATGTGTATTCACAGGAGAGATGCGGGAGTTCATTACACCATCATCATTTCGCACTGTAGAAAAGATTAAGTTACCTCGGCTTAAAATATTAACCGCTGCATTAATACTGTCACTGTATTATAAATATGCTGTGTTACAATTGAGAAAACAAGTTGAATGATTTACTGTGTCACACTTTCAGCTATATATATCCACTCTGTCAGGATCTGCTCCTTCTATCCGTTTATGTTCTCAACATTGACTCCCAGTTTAATCCAGTATCAAATTCAAAATTCTCTGCCTCACACACAAAGTCTTGAATAATCAGAACCATTTAAAAGAACTTAAAGTACCATATAACCTCAATAGAGCACTTTGCTCTCAGAGTTGTCATTCCTTGAGTATTTACAGTTTTTCTCTTTGGTTTGGCTCATTTCTTGAAACAGAAATTACATTCTCCAAATAACATGGACAAACCTCCAAACCTCTTGGCAAATGTTCACAACAGAATGGCATTTCTCATTCATTTTATCAAATTGCAAATGCCTTAGTACATGTCTCAATTGTCTCAGTGCATCTTTGCAAATGATTAAGTACAAGTAGCCTACAGTTATACAGTTAGCCCACATGTAGCATATTTTCTAAATGAATAGATCTTGTAGATCTAAACTGACTAGTTGATTCTCAGTCTAATGATCATTCTCTCCAAAACATGTCA